GTTCCACATTTAGATTCAATGCATGATAAGTAGCTGAATAAGGTGACATGAGACTGACAATTCAATAAAATCAGGAAATCATATCAGAAGGTGATTAGAAAGCCATCAAAAGGTTCACAAGGATCCTTGAACATGTTGGTGGGGACATTGGATTTCTTACTGTAAGCAGATAGGAACTCTTCTGATTAAATATCACGAGAGGTAACAAGTAGGGCTTGAAATCTTGAGCACCCACCACCTTTACCCCACCAAGACTTGATGACCATTTTCTCCCTTTGCATCACTGGCTTTTCACTGGACATCTATATACAGTATAACTCTTACTTGATAAAATGAAAGACTTGATTTCAAAGCAAGGTTGGAATTTTAATGTTCATAGCCTCCTAAAATCTTGAAACTAAAATACCTTCTGGTGATGACCTAGTCCAAGCTCTTAACAGCTAGGAAACTAGCATAGAAAATGACTTGTCTTGTTCTCATGGCAAGTTACCAGCAGCAAATGGACTTGAGTTTTCAGCCAAGGGCAACTATTCCCTTCATTTTCATTAGGCTGGCTGTTTCAAGTCAGAAAGGGAATAAAAAATAAGCCCGAGTATGTAAGGTGGTTCACAAAAGTAGGGAACTATTACTAGCTGCCTGCACACATTCCTGAGTCGAGATGTTAATCTATTTCAGCAATGAAGAATCTCTTTATTTCAAGTATGCCAATCAACAATGTCAATACATATCACATAACTTTCTGATGTATCCTTAGAATAAAATATCATGATGAAACTCATTCGTTGACATATAAAAGTAAAATTAAATATAAAAAGAGTCCAATTTGATTATCAGAACTTCTAAGGTTTTCCTTTACTTTCTTATGGCTTGAACTGACTTTCATGTGAGTTGAATAAATGTTAACAATTTAGAAGATCCAATGCCTTTACGAAAGATACGAGACTGGATAATTTTTGTTGTAGCCTAATTATTGAATAAGTGATTAAACTAATTCTCACTAAATTTATGAAATGAAAATCAACTAAACATTCTAATTAACTTGGAGAATTTTTTTAAATGGCTGAATGATAGTCATAGTTCTACAGCAATTTAATGTTTATATAGTAATGATTTCACTTTTAATATATACAAAGATAAAAATAAAAAACTCATTCAGCAGGTGGCAATGAAACTCCAAGAAGTTGACAGACCATACTTAGGCCTCTATTTTTTTTTATAACAGTTATAGTATAAGCCTAATTAAATTCAAGAGAGAATCTGACTTTGTCAACTACAAGATTTTATCAGAAAAATACAAAGCATTATCGGTTTGGATATTGGAGGAAGGATGGATGTCCAGTGCACATGAGTCCCTGAGGTGTTGTATAAAGGCACGTGGGATTGGAATTTTAACACATAAAGGAGCTATAAGGGTATAAACTAGGGGTACATTTTCAACTCTGCAAGGAGAGTCAGAATTAAAAAAAGTCAAAGACAAAGAAGCTTCTCTGGTCCCAGTAGTTATACAATACCCAGCCTTTGGTATCATTCCAAAGTTATAGAGTAAAAATACTTTAAAGAGTCACTTTAAGGTAAATCATATTACCCTTAAAAGATAAGGATGGAACATGTCTAGAGTTACTGCTTAGAATACACGGTGGACTAAATGCAAACTAGTAGTTTGAGACCTTGTTTCTTGGTCTGACTCATACCTGTCCCAGTACGACCTGGGACAACTTATTAACTTCTTGGAGTTTCATTGCCACCTGCCGAATGGTTTTGTTTTGTTTTGCTTTTGTTTTCAATTGTCCACTCTAAAGAATAGAACTGACAATTCACATGTGGGGAAATACTTATTTCTTAAACATAGAGAAATGTTAATTCTCTAATTAAAAAATAGCAACTTGAAAACCAAGCTCATGGATATTGAGAACAGATTGGTGATTGCTAGAGGTTGGGGACTGGGGGATTCAAGAAATGAATAAACTTTTTATTTTAGGTTAAATTGAAAAATTTTAAATGCAATTTAAATCAAACTTCAGAAACATGAATAGCTTTGCAAGAATTTCTTTAAATGCTAGTAATCCTCAAGTAACAATAAAAATGGATTCACTCAATTCGATGCAATAAGCTGCTTAGTCAGGTGTTCTCTCTTCCTTATTCACATCTGTATCTCCAATACCCAGACCCCCACTTAAAATCTTGGACACTGAGTCTTGGTAGACATTTCATACCTGTTGTCACAATTTGATGCTGGGGGAATCAGGTGTGTCCTATGTGACTCCCTGGGCAGAGGACTCTTAGAAGCATGTGCCTGATTTCCTCAGGACTTTCACTCCATACAGCCTCTTCCCTTTTCTGATTTTGCTTGGTATTGTTTTGCTGTAATAAATCATAGTCATGGTATGACTATACATTGAGTCCTGTGAGTCCTCTTGGCAAACCACAAAACTGGGGGAAGTCTTGGGGATCCCCAACACACTACCCTTGGCTACATGTATGGGCCCTGGTACATGTAGCTAAGGACTGTGATACACAGGCCAATCAGCATATCCAACATGTTTGGCTGTAGTGATGGGTTCAGGGATTGGCTTATAACCCAAACACAACTAGTGAGACCAGATGGGGCCTTCACTGGGCCTTCAAAGAGAATCCAGACCTCTCACTTCTGCTGGTTGATTTGGGAAGGGACTGTGAGGCTGCATATGTTGGCCGCCTTCTTGTGACCACAACAGAAATAACCTGGAGTTGCCAGGGCAGTATCCACAGGGAGCTGGTGGATAGAGCTGGCTCTGAGATGGCAAGGAATTAGGCTTAGATAATCATAAATTGCTCGACCAAGCCCCTTCAAAGCTAGTCCTACCCTTCTAGATTTTTTTTCAGTTGTGTATAAGTTTCGTTATGTCAATTTAAACTGGTTTTATTACTTGAAAGAATCCCAACTGATGAAACCTTGAACCATGCTAAAGAGTCTGACAATAGGATGACCAAATAGGAACCATCACAAGTTTCTCAGTTGGGAAGTCACATGTTCAGAAGGCCCCTCTGGTGGGTGGTGAGGGTAGGTGGCTAAAGACCAGAGATCAGTTAGTTGGAAAGCCATCAAAATGAGTTATGAAGTATGAGGGCATATTTGGGTATGGGTAGCAGAGAATGAAATCCTTAAGTATTCAGGAAAAAAAAGTGACAAAAGGTGAAGGATTAAATGTGGGGTGTGAGGAAAAGTCAAAGATGACTCTGGTTTCTTAGTTTAGACAATAGGTGATACTCTTAACTAAGACAAAAACAGGAACAGACTCAGATTTAGGAGTGGATAATAAGATCACATTTACTTTGGACATGCATCTGCAGTAATTATATGACAAGAGTTCAGTAATGATTTGGAACTGTGGAATTATGGAAAGATGAGAGCCAAAGAAGATATAGATTGGGATGATGTCTGTAAAGATATGAAAACAGATTAAATCACCTAGGAAGAAAATGTCTACCAAAAAAGAGAAAGCTGAAACCTCAATCTTAAATCCTGAAAAGATAGGTAGAGAAAAATTACAAAAGAGACAAGTATAGGCCAGAGATTAACCCATATATTCATTAAGAAGTTAATATTTTCTCACTGGAGGATAAAAGGGGAGTGAAGAATTATGGAGGATGGTGCATTCAACAATATTAGATATTATAAAAAGGTTAAGGAGCATAGGACTAACAAAGCGGCTGCTAAACCTGGCTACTGGTAGCTGTCTGACCTTTAAGACTGAAAAAGATGGATTAGTAATTATAATATCACTTTAACATGTTTTAAGCATCTAAACTATATATTCAACACTTTCATTAATGTATGGTGGCATTTGACTCATTTTAATATGCTATTTCTATTTGGAAGGACACTATCCTTTTTCAAGCTCAAAAGAAACAGTAATTATTATAAAAGACCAATATTAAAAAACTGCCACTTTTTTCATTCATTGGCATAACAATGGATCAGTCTGAATTAAAGTTAATTGTATGATACCAAACAGTCTTCATGAGAGTAAGGCATAATTGCCAGATATGTAACTTCTCTTCTATACCCTTCCACATATCCTGCTCATTCATTAAATCAACAATAATATATTGAGGTCCTATACTATGTTCTAGTACTGTGTAAAACATTACAATTCTAAATTTCCGAGACTTTGTCCCTTGATCCCTAAAATCTAGTTCCCTAAATCTTGTTTCCTGAAGCAAAATACTATGCTGCGCTCCCAGAAGCCCTAGTCTAGACTGAAGACATATTCCTCAAGCTGCTAAGAAGACCACCATTTGACTATAAGGACACTCCAGGAACTGCCTGCTGCTTTGCCAAAGTCATGGCCCCTTTACTGGGCCGGCCATAATCAATGACTAGTTAGCTCAGAACAATTCTGAAAAGGCACCTCAGCTTCAGAGCTCCCCAAAAGATCCACTGAGGCCTTGTGGTAGTTGGGCCACAACCTAACTTCTCCCTCTGCTTAGCCCTGCTTTAACTTACTGCCACCCACCTGCCCATCCCCCACCCCTCTGCATTTTGATCCCAAGAACACTTCTAAATAAATTTCCTGCCCATAAATCTCCACCTCAAAGTCTGCTTCCCAGGGAACTCAGCCTGGAACACCCACCTATATTCTCCTCAAGTTGTGCTCCATGATTAACCTGAGTATCCCAGTTGCTCAGGTTAATCATTTCCTCAGCATATATCATCTGAGCTAAATGTTAGGGAAAACAGTGATATGACACTACTTGCTAGTGAACATCTTGTGATTTAAGATTACTGATTAAGGAAGAAAGCTATATATTTGGTAGACTTACAAGCATTATATGAAAGTAAAGAATTTCTAGCAAAACAATAAGAAGGAAAACTATTTGGGAACACAAAGGCCATTCTCTTGCCTTAAAGCAGAAAACTATTAGAGCAATGTATGAAAAGCAAGTACATATAGAGAAATTCAAATTAAAACTTGGGGTACCAACAAATTAGAGAAGAGAAAATAACAAAACAAAATATAGATGGCATCAAAGTGGCCTTTACTCATTTAATTTTCCTTTCAACTTATAAATGCTATCACAATTCTAAAGAGACTAGACTTGGGTGGAAATTTTTTATTATGAAGATAAGATCTAAGAAGGATAATTACAAGCCAGCTTAGTTCCTTGTAAAAATAATGATAACATGAAAATTTAGTAGAAAATGAAAAATCTGAAAAGTTATCTGAAATCTGAAAATGTTAAGCAATTTCCCCTGCATCTTCGTTTTGATCACTTTCACTGAATCGCTATGGCATATTTAAGTAAAGACAGTGTTTTTCTATTTTTATTAATAATGGCGCATATCCTTCAGAGCTTAGCATAGTCTTTAAAAATCGACTGAAGCTTCAGGCTCAGCATGATGTTCCCTTGGGCCTTCAGTCTGCCACTAAAGAATGCCTGGAAAGGAGAGAGGGAAGAAGAGTACAACCTTTATCATGTTACATTTTTTTTTTTCATTTTTTAAAAGATCACTGTTCAGACTGAATACAATTGAGTTATAGTTCTAGACAACAAAGCCAACTTTTATCTAGCAATGATAGTTTAATGATTATAGATATCATATTTTTGATATCTAAAAAAAAAGACTCCTTGTATATTTTAGAAAACCACAGAATAACTTACCTGAATTGACAGATCTGGGAGTTCTGCTTTAACCTATGCTTCTGGCTTTAGTCTGTGTTCTTAAACATGAATTTGAGACTATATGAATAAAAAGTTTTACTGTATCCTTAATAAAAATATTAAATTCAAGACTTTTAAAAGCAGATAAAAAATATTTATTACATCTTCATGAAATAGAAAGCTATATATGATGACAAAAGAAAATAGTGTAACAAAGTAGTAAATGGACCCTGGGCTACAGCATTAGAATGACTGGGTTAAAATCTAGGCTCTACCACTTACTAGCCTGCTGAGCCTGGGCAAATCATGTAACCTCTTGGAGCTCCAGCTTCCTCATCTATTAAGGGCATGACAACAGTACCTAAATAACACAGCTTTGTTTTAAGTTTAATGAAATAGCGTGTGAAGTGCATAGCTTATTTATTGTTTGGCATGCGGTACAGAATAGTAAACTCATTATTACCAAGCAAAAGACTGTCACATTAAAACACTAAGAGCTCCTGCATCACCTCTGTATTTGACCTGCCAACAGAAACTTATGCAAGTTGCTTAAGTTCTCTCTCAGTGTCAAGTTCCCTATCAGTAAAAGAAAAAAAAAAAATCAGTTTTTTATAGCTTACTGAGAAAATAATGAGGAATGTGAAGTAAAAAAGAAGTCCCTAGATTTTGAGCTTGATTGAAAAATAGTACTATCCCTACGGCCATGCAACCCTGAACAAGCCCAATCCCGTCTGATCTCGGAAGTTAAGCAGGGTCAGGCGTGGTTCGTACTGGGATGGGAGACCACCTAGGAAGACCAGCTGCTGTAGATGTAAAAAATAAAGATTGTAAGCTGACAATGTCCTTGCAATCTGTGAGGTCAACCAAGGGTTGCCTCGCCTAAAAAAAAAGAAAAATAGTACTATCCATGTATACTTAACATTAGAAAGCAGCCCTACAAACATAATTTCACTTAAGAGGCACAGCTATCAACTTGAATTGGACCTAACAGCAATTCCTACCCATAGTTGACAGATGAGAAAACTGAAGTTCAGAGATTTTAAATAATCTGTTCAAGGCCAAGAGGCAGCAAGAAGAAAGGCCTGTTCTTGAACTCAGGTGCTCTTTGCCCAACAATATCTACTGTTTATCAACTAGAAGCAACTTAATCTCAGAAGCAAATCCTTATCAGCTGGAGGAAAAGCAAAAACTACTTAAATGTTCTGTCCCAGAAACAGTAAGGGAGAACTCATTCGATAAGAATCAAAAGTGCTAGGGATTCAAATCGGTGTTCTTCAAACTGGAATTTCAAAACAAAGACTGCTTTCACTGTGCAGTTATGGAAACCATAGTCTGCGACTCTTGCAGAGGAGGACCCAGTACTTAGACCTGCTTGCCAGGTACTAAAGTCTCAGAGGAATGTACAATCTAAAATAAGAATTACTAATGCCTTAAAATAAATAAATCAACATTTGATGTTGCAATTAAGTGGAAGAATTTTGTACATAAATCTTTATGCTTTATTTTCTTAGAATAGATTTCTAGAAGAATTACTAAATCATCACATTTCTTAAATAAGGTCTTGACCATACTTCCATACCGTCACAGTTTTCAAACTGTACAGCGTGGCATACCAGGGTACCAAAACAAACCAACAGGGATACTAAGAAATATTAAATGTTTTGAGGGAAGTACTGTGACACTATTCAAATACGACATGAAAACTACTCTTGTTTGGATCTAACTACTTAACATACTGCACCCTTGGGTACTTCTTTTGGCCTAGGAGTACTACTATGCAAGAAAAAGTACCGAGATCATAAAGGAAGAAAAGCCGGTGAACCTCTGTCAAGTGCTTTTCAGAGAGACTATACCAAATTAATAGTCCTTCCACCTACATGCGAATTCTCCTATCCCAATCTTAACAATACTATTTTCTTAATTTTTAAAAATTTGAGGCAAAAATTTACGCTTTAATTTGCATTTTTTAGATAATGGGGAAATGGTTTTTCTTATATTTGTCAGTCATCTCTATTTCTTTCATTAATTATTGGTTCACATCTTCTGCCCATTTTTTCTATTTCGGTCTTAGTGCCCTCCAGAATTAATTATAGGTTATTGATACCAATATACTATATACCACCATCTTCTTAATTTTTCCCCCCAGGTTTATGGGACTATCTTATGGAGTCTGACATGCAGAAGTTTTTAATTTCTACACAGCCCGAATTACTGCTATTGAGCTTTTGTTCCTTATTTCAATCCTTGCTCTAATCAACTAGGCAATATTCTAGGCTAGGATATAGACACCTCTCCCTGTTCTCATAGAGTTAATGTAGTAGGAGAGTCAAAAATAAAATGTAAACCAGTAATTAAAGCCTATTATAAATGCTATGAAAAGAAAACACAATGCTATTAGAGAGTATGACGGGAAGAAACTACTTTGGATGAAGCTAGCCATGCAAAAAGCTAGGGGTGGAAATTCCAGGAAAGGCAAATACACAGACATTAAAGGAATAAAAGCTGATGGGAAGGAACTGAGAGGAAACACAATGTAAATGGAATTAGCATTATAAGTGATGAGGCAAGCAAAATGAGATGAAGCTGGAAAGATGAGCAAGTTTGGATTTTATCCAAGTTCAAAAGGAAATCTTGGAGGTTTTTATCAGGTAGAATGACCTATCATCTGATTCACATTTTTAAAAGTTTTTAAAAGATTACTCTGGCTGCTGTGTAGAGAAACGACTGGTGGAGAAGGAAGACTAGAAGCAGTAAGACCAGTCAGGAAGCTGCTATAGTAAGCCGAGTGAGAGATGATGGAGACTTGGGTCATGGTGATATCCCTAGTGATGTAGAGAAGAAGATGAATTCAAGACATATTTTGGAGAAAGATCAGGCAGAATTAAGGACGGAAAGGATACAGAGGTATAGAAGGAAGCCAAGACAACTCTTATATTATCGAGGATATTAATTTGGGCAGATAGACGATAGTACCAGAGAGCTGGTTATATCACTATGGAACTCAGAGAAGACAACTAAGACATTTAAACCTTATGAGTTGCCAACATGTAGATGGCTTTAAATACCATAGTGTATGGATGAATTCATTTAAGGGAAGTGTTATTTAGAGAAGAGCCCTGAAATGAGCTCTGAGAAACACCAATGTTTAATGGTACGGCAGAAGACAACACCAAAGGAGATCATGAATAGCCAAAGGTGGAGAAAACAAAACAGGAGAACATGGTGTCATGAAAGCCAAGGGATGAAACTATTTCAAGAAGTTGGTGGTTAGTTGAGTTGAATGCTAATGAAAGGTTCATTAAGACATAGACAGAGAAATAGTCCTTGGATTTAGCAAAATAGTCATAGGTGGCCTTATCAGTGGAAGACAGTATCAGTGGAGTGATAGATGTAGAAGTCAGGTAAGAGAGGGCAGAAGAGTAAAGTGAAAACAGAATGTTTAAGGCTGTGCTGCCTTTTTAAAGTAGCCACCAGCTCATGTGGCTACTGGACACTTGAAATATAATTAGTCCTGGCTGAGATGTACTTTAAGTATAAAAAATATACTGGATTTTAAAGACCTAGTATTTAAAAAAAGGATAAAAAATATTCTATTAATATTTTTAATATTGATTACATGTTGAAATATTTCAAAGTTCTGGGCTAAATAAAATATAGCTGGCCCTTGAACAACACAGGTTTTATCCGCTTGGGTCCACTTTTACATATATTTTTTTTCAATAAATATACATTCAGCCCTCAGCCTCCACAGATACGACACCAGAGGATACAGAGGGCTGGCTATATATTTACAGCAATGATAAATAGCATTGATGTTGGGGAGATGGTAACAGAACCAAATGAGTTTAGAAAAACCCTGATATTAATTAGCATTTCTCTTAAGAATTATCATTAAGAATAATAAACACCTAGGTTTTCATCAAGTTTTTACTTCTGCTTTTCTTTTTTACACTTTATTCTATTCTGGATTGACTTAGGTATCTGGAATGATATAAAGTAGTACCATTTCCTAAGCGACTGCTTAGTACCATTTACTGAATAATCCATTCATCTCCAAAGGTCTGGTATTCCTGGCAATTATAAAAATGTTTATTTAATCCTACATTTAATCTTTATATATAGACATCTCAAATATAACACATCTAAAAAGGAACTCTTAATTACCCAGTCTCTGTCCCAAGGTCAATTTTCCACTGAGCAGCCAAAATGACCTTTAAAAATTAGATGCTGTCAGCTCAATGACTTCCTATCACACACAAGATCTGCTCTACAAGGTCCTGTGCCATCTAGCCCTTGCCTACCTCTCCCACCTCACCTCCCACCACTCTTCCCACTACTCATTTTACTAGCTTCACTAGCCTCACACTTAATACTTCAATAAGCCAAACAACTCCTGCCTCAAGCCTTTGCACTAGCTATATCCTTAGCCTTAAGGCTCCCTCCCTCCTTTCGCTCAGGCCTCAATTAGACCTTTTCAGACAACCCTATCTAAAATAGTTCTTCTATCCTATCACTCTAATCCAGGGGTTAGCCAGTTACAGCCTACAGGCTAAAACTAGTCAGCTATCTGTTTTTTGTAATAAAGTTTTACTGGAATACAACTCCATCCATTTGTTTAAATATATTTCCATGGCTACTTTAACTCTACAATGGCAGAACTGAGTAAGCTACAACAGACACCATCTGACCCGCAAAGCCTGAAATATTTGCAATGTGATCCTTTACAGAAACTTTGCCAACCACTACTCTAATACCCTGACTTATTTTTCTTCATACCTGAAATCATATTTCTTTTCCATTTACCTCTAGAACTAAGCTCCACACAGTAGAGATACTGTCTTGTTCAGCTATACCCAGAACCCAAATAAGTGTAGGTATTAAATAAACTCCTGGGAAAGACATAACTGAGGGATCACTCAGTACCAAGTACTATACTAAGCTCTTCATATATATCACTGGGTTAAGTTATCAAACAATCCTTTGGGATTATTATAATTATTCATTTTAACAGTGAGAAAAATTGAGGTTTAGAGAGTAAGTGGCAGGGCTAAGATTTGACCTTGATTTATCTGATGACAAAGAAAATATTTTTTACCACTGCACTACTTTATAGTTCTTTTTAAATTAGTCTTTCTATCTAGAAAAACTAAACATTTTCCTTTTATTTGCATTGCTCTGTTCCTTGTAAACTTGTATAGTTTTCTTCGAATAAGCATTGTACTTTTCTTATTAGGGTAGTCATTGGTATTTTGTAGTTTAAGTTGTGATTATAAACGAATATTTTTTTCAATTATATCTTCTAGTTGGTTTTGTTACTATGTGAAAGCTACTTTTTAATAATTATTGTACATTCGACCACTTGTTTGAACTCCTCTATTCTAAGTATCAATCGGTTGATGCTTTTGGGATTTTTTACTACATAATCATGATATTAAAAAAACAAAATTTTCTCCTCCATTCTAATTGCTACAGCAGTTACTTTAATTTTGTGTTTTTGGACTGGCCAAAAGTTTCAGAACAATATTAATTCATAATGGTCAGAGAGAAAACTCTTGTCTTAATCATGGCTTTCCATAAATGTTTCGCCTTCAGTAAGACACTGGCTGTTATGTTCTACCCTTGTATTTCCAGTTTTCAATGATAATTAAGACAAATTCTTAATCTTATATATCAAGAATGAATGTCTAATTTTTTTAAATACCTACTAATATCATATGGCTTTTCATCTTTGAACTGACACAATTTACTAAAAGGTCTAGATGTGGGTTTTATACTGTTAATATGCTGAAGAATTTCACCCAAAATTCAGTTTGAAAAAGTATCAGTTGAAACTCCATTAGAAAAATATATCATCTATAACCCAGACACTGGTAACTATGTCTTTTTCAGAGTTATAAGAAATCTGTCTTATAAATCAGAATTTGGGAGTCAGCTAAAAACTGTAATTGTTAAATATGTAGCAACAACGATGAATAAATGAGCATTTTAAGACCAGTACCTTCTGAGGATCAAGTTTGCCGAACACTATGTCCATGAAATCTTCATCTGAAAGTATGATTGTTACATCAGCAGAGCCTTTTGCAGGGCCTTGATATACTGTTCCAGTACCATTTTTTAGGTCAATAGCTAGGAAAAATAGGAAAGTGTGTCACTTTTTCATTATAATGAGTAAAATAAACCAACTGAAATGCAGACATTTTGATAATTTTCAAATTAATGTGCTGCTTTTTCTACATTACATATTACCTGTCAATTATAAAAAAAAAAAATTTAATCCTTTATTTGTCCTTTTTAGAAAGTTCTTCAAAAATAGTCAAATCAATATTTTTCTTCATTGAAGTTTACACAACATAAATATTTTCTTTTATTTTGTTATTTTATTTCTTTTTTTCCCCCTCTTTAAATCCTCCCTCCCACACACACTTCCACTCCTGACCTATGGAGGTTGTCGTTCCCCTTAAGAACTGGATCTCTGAAGGCCCCTTAAGAACTGGTCTCCTCCCACACACTCGCAGGGTGCACCTGGAGCCTGGCGCCTCCAGTGCACTCGGGGGGTCGGGCACATCCGGCGTATGGTCCGTGGCTCCACCTGGGGCGCACACTCAGGACCTTCTGTATGTAGAGCAGACGTGCTAACCACTACACTATGGAGCCACCCCAACATAAGTATTTTAAATGTGAATCAATCTAAAATAATATAAGGAAGTTAAGTTGGTAGACGTTATGTGGGTAAGGCCATTAAGTCAACAAAGGAAGCAGCAGAATTTTTAAAACAGTTGCATGTTGGCTGGGTTGGGGTAAGGGAATACATACTATAATCACCTTTCAAATACCTGAATTCATCCAGAGTTCTATCATATGGATAGCAAGACAGTCAACATAAGTTTTTAAAAATATTCTAATTAGTTACTTAAGATTTTATAAAACATTTATAGCCCTAATTGTTGTGAATTAACATTAGCTTCTTTTCCCTTAACTGTTTTGACAGAAGGATTAAGACTCCCAGAAACAGGCTGAGTAACTTGGAAAATTATTAAAATTTTACCTTCACTGCTTTCATTATGTAACATTTGCAGCACTTTCTGCCAGAGTTACATTTCAGAAAGTTTTAACTATCTCATATATGACTGAAACCAGTTATCCAGAAAGCCCAATCCACTCATCCTGCTTCAGCCTCTTGAACGTGCTTTCTCTTGCTATAGTGAAGGGGCTACAGGCACATCACTCTAACAGTGTATAGGGAACTTTACTTGAGGGTCAAGGAAAAGCTACACATATTATAGAAAAAACCCAGAGCGTTTAACTACATTCTGCTTAGCCAAGCCTTGCTCCAAAGAGAAAATTAAATCACTCCAACTCTCCATAGAAGAGAATTTTTGCCAACGAAACAAAAAATAATTTGACAACAATGATTATCTTGGGGAGAGAAAGGGCAAGAAGAGAACCTTACTGCTTTGTATATGTCATCCACTCTATTGTTTTCTACTGTGAGTGTTAGACAATATGCAAAGTATTAGAAGCGAGGCATGAAGAGCAAAGGCTCTGTTCTTATTGACCTGTATTATGAATATGTTTTCATGTATTATTTGTATAGTTAAAAAGAAAGAAAGGTAGATAAAGAAGGAGGAAGGCAGGAAGGGAGGGGAATAGTGAGGAAGGGAGAAAGAAAAGACTAAAGAAAAGCAAGCCACTGGCATTCAACAAACAACATTCATGGTTTAATTCTTCACAAGTACTTCTAAGGCCCACTGTACATACCAGTCTTGCTCAGGAATAAAACTGCACCACACACATCTTCCTGCTAAAGTGTGGGAGTAAGTCTCTTAGCTAATGAAGGTTCTTAGCTGCCCACCTGCCTTCTCACTCACCTGGTTTTATGTGCTACTTCATACTATGACTCTTGTAAAGCAATGTAACTTTCTCCTGTGGAAATCTAGTAACTAGTGTTGATAAAAAAGAAAAGAGAGCTAAGAAAGGAAATGTTCTTAGGAAGATACAGAAATTTGAGGTAAAGTAGTGGAACTTTCAATTCTTCAGTGATTCAGGTCATAGCCTATAACTTGGCTTGTGTGGGAGAATCATCATCTACACCTGTAAAGTCATGGCTAACCTTAAATTAAAATGAAGAAACAGACTGTATATATTTTCCTTTACTGGTAGAATTTATTTTAAAAGCTCTAAAAATGACTTTAGTTCTGTATTTATATAATCATTAAGGCTCTAAAACAGTCCATAAAAATTTTAGTTATACTTTATAGCATTTAATGGGAGAGGGAGAGGTTATTAGATGAGAGCATGGCATTTGGAAACTTGGGGATCTTTGAAGTTACATACCTTACAAATCACAAAGGGCTACTATAAAAGAGAGGAGTTATTTTTGTCGATGCCTTCTTTCCTTAAGATTATAAATTCTTAGTTGGAACAAGAATATCTTGTCTTTGTATCCCCTACCGTTTCTTGAATAGACAGTACTTAGTAACTTTGTTAAATGGGAGATTACAAAAGCTCATGGAAGAAGCATCTCTATAAAAAAAATGACAACAAACAAAAAACTTAGGATAAAAATAAAGTTTTTTTTTTAAATCACACCACGGACACAATACTTTTGTGCTATTCCTGCCAAAAATTCATAAACTAAATCTAATAATCATGAAGAAACATCAAATAAACACAAACTGAGGAACATTCTACAAAATAAGTGGCCTCTACTCTTCAAATATGTCAAGGGCATTAAAAATAAAAACAGACTGAGGAACTCATCTAGATTGAAGGAGACTAAAGAGGCCTAACAACTAAATGCAATATATGACCCCCCCACTCCCTCCCTCGCAGGTCCCACCAGCTCAAGTGGATGGAGGAGCTGCAGCTGCCAAGCACCCTGGCTTTGCAAGGGCTCTAGGTGCGCCGCAGCCCACAGCCACATGCCTGCCCGGCCACCATGATGTCCAGGAGGATGGCCAACTCCACCCAGGGGGCAGTGAAGGAGGAGTCTAAGAGGAGGCCGGTGAGGTTGTCAGCTAAACCTGCTCCTGCAAAAGTGGAAATGAAGCCAAGGCGGGGCGGGGGGAAGAAAGGAAAGGATAAATCTGCAGACAAAAAAAGTGCAAAAGAAAAGGGAAAAGGGGAGCAAAGGGAAAACAGGCCCAAGTGACTAAAGAAATTAAAGAATTACCTACAGAAAACAGAAACTAAAATCGAGGAGAACCCAGCCTCTGACGAAGCAGGAGAGGAAGAAGCCAAGTCTGATTAATATCATTCATCAGTGGTCCCTGTCTCCTTTCTCGTATAATCCAGAAGAATACTTATATCAACCATTTTGTAAATGCAAGTTTTTTAGTAGCTTTAGAAACATTAAGGGGAGAATTCAACCTCATCCCATTTTTTAAGTGTAAATGCTTTTTTTTAAAGAGGCGCAATCATTTGCTGGTTGTTTATTTTGGGGTACAACCAGAAAATAATGGGATATTGAATATGGAAGACCTTGATTGTCTTAGGTGTCAAGACCTTGATTGTCTTAGATGGGGATAGCTTTTATATCCTATAACACAAAGCATACTAAATGGCAGTTTGGAGTCAGTCATACAGTTAATATGTCTTGAACATTTTAAATTATTTCTACTCCCATGTTTTTTCCAGAACTGCTTCCTAAAGTAAACCACTCCTTGATCTTGGTTCTCCCTGTCAGAATTTTGTGCACCCTCTTTGGACGTGGTAGTTCAGTTTTCCTAGTAACTTCATTAATGTGCTATGAATGACTAAATATTTGATTATGTAGTGAATACATTAAATTGTGAATTAGTGGGACTTCGATGTAACAGCATATCAACATTTGAAGATACTGGTGGTATTTAATATTCTATTAAGGGAAATTAGCCTCCAAGTTTTAAGCTGTAAAGTCACTGGAATAACTGTTTAGAAAAGAACCACAATTACATGACTTTTTTGGACTTTGGTACGTATTTTAAGAATTGTGTACAAATTGAAAGCCTGTGAACTTACTCTCAAAACAACCAATAAAATCTAGATTATTAAAGAATCTTCAGTCATGCAGGCTCAAAACTTCAGCATTAGTTGTCTCTTTCTTGTTCCTCTTATTTTTCAGACATTATCAGTAGCTAAGTCAGTCAATTCTATCTTAGCAATAGATCTACATAGGCCCTCTCCCCTCCATTACTGCTAACACCTTGATTTAGGTCTTCCTTCTTTTTAATCTGCAATGCAAACCCTTGTTTCCTTAACTCTAGTATTTTAAACTTTCCTGATACACCGCTTCTAATAGTTATTTCTGTGGACAAAAAAAAAGACATCCCGTCTTTTCATATTTGTAATACAAAACCTAGCAGAGAACTTGGCACATAGTAAATATTCAAATATCTGTTGAATGGACCAATCCTCCCATTCTGTGAAAGCCAATAGCACCTTTCCCATGTCTCATCACTCTCATTTTATCAGATTTATATATAAATAAGTCCTAATCTCTTATTTAAACTCCTTCAGGCCAGAAGGGTTTAAGAATTCAGAATTTTTCAGATTTTAAGAAGAAAATACAGTGCATAAAGCACATATATTATGAAAGACCTCCAACGCTGCAACATTCTATAAACAAATATATAATTTCTGTACTCAACTAATCCACACTAGGTAAGATAAGAACAATCAGTTGCATCACGTAAGTTCAGATCAGGTTTTGCCACCCATCGATTATGAGAAAAAAACTTTCCATTTTTAGAGCTTTTGGTTTCTGGAGATGAAGGTCAAAGCAACTGTGTTTTAATTTTCAGGCGCAGACTATTCTATAGGCGATATAAAGCCTCTGATTCTTTAATTTTCTTTATGCCTTCCTGTCAGCCTTTATTTCCTCTCAATTTTTCCTGTTGCTTGGAATAGGGTGGGATCCAAATGGTTTACTAGGACAACTTTGGGCTGGTTTCAGAAATTAACAGTAATAAATATCATAAAATACATTGCTTACTTACAAAGTGTTTCAATGGTATCTTATTGTTCCTGAATACTTCACTCATGCTAAATAGAAAATACGTATCACTATTCATATAACTAAATTTATTGTTTTAATAGAAGGAAAAGCACCAATTTCAGCACTTTTTTTTTTAAAGGTAGGCATCTGATTCCATTTAAAACTATGCATCCTACATGGCTTTTATAGAACTTACGCAACATACATGGAATCAGGCTACTGTGTGTTATAAACCACACTAGAAGCTGGAAATAAGTTAATGTGAAGCTCTCTCTCAGTGTTAAACCCACGTCAAGTAGGAGAAGACATATAATTATAAATGATCACAATACGGTAAGATAACTGAGACAAACTGTTATCTTAAAAAGACTGTTCAAAGGGAATTCAGAGATTTATTTCTCTACCTGATGTCCATTTTCACTTTTTCAACCCAATCAAAGGATCTCTGGTAATATAAAAATCCAAAGGACAATCTTTATGCAAAAGAGTAAAACACCTAAAGGCATAGGATATTGGAAAAAGGTGTTCAAACATGTCCAGGCATTCGATTACATTTTGGAGTAATAAAAAGGTAGAAATAAGAAGGTGCAAGGGAGCGTTCCAAGATATGGTTTCCTTCCCAAAAATACCTCACCAAGGCCCTCCTCTGATTCCTTATGCAGATCGAAGGCTTATACCTCTCTGTTATACACTCTTGGCTCATAGGAAAAAGGCAGGGTTCTCCAGCTTCTGTCAGATCATCTCAGCCCAGTGACACAGAGGTCACAGTGACCCTTAACCAGGCAGTCCTCCTAGTCCTGGATAACCAGGCCTCAGAGGGGCCCAACCTAAAAAAACCCAGCTATGACTCTTTCTTCTCCATAGCCAAAACCAACCTGACCCAGTACTGACACCAGAATTTTCCTAATTCTCTCTAGATTCAGACTAATTTGGTTTTAAAAGACTCCCTTCCTGTCCCCCATCTAACACACACATATTCTGCCTAGAGATTTGTTGGTTTTGTTTGGATGGCAAGAAGGGAAAGGGAACAGGGAAGATAAGCACATTCCAGGATCTCTGGACTGGAACGGGCCGTCCAGGCCACTGAGCTCAAACTCCAAGGTCAGTCGCTTGTGCAACTCCGGTGACAGCTGAGACCAGCCAAGGTAAATTGAGTAGCTTAGGCCTGTTCTCTCTAACCAGGTTCAGGTCTGCCAAGATATAAACAAGGCCGGAACAACTAACAACAATTTCAAATACAAAATATTTGGTAATTAAGTGTTCAGCAAAACCTTTTTAAAACTGCTTATAAAAAGGGAAAAAACACCTTAGGTATTTCCTAAATCAAAACATTCAATCATCTATGTCATTAAGTGCCAAGATGAAAAATAGAGATGCCAGCATGGAATCATCTTCTAAGTCACCATAAGCCAAAAGACCTAGATAGTTTCTATGGCAGCTACTGTGATTTAGCTCAGTGACACAGACAGCAAGAAAACAGCAAATAGAACTGAAAATAGCTGCACAGCTGAGAATTCAATCAAATAACAGACAGGGAGCAGATCACCAAAAGAATGGTGAATCATTTCAGAGAAAGCTTTAGGATTCAATTTGACTGTCAGCTTTGATAAGAACCCGAAGAAAAGATGATAAAACAAACATAAGCCACAATAATAGTTATTAAGCATCAATAATAATTATTAACAGGATTTCAATATTCCCATGGAAAAGTAAGGAAAAACCCTTTTCTAGGTTATTATTTTAGGGACATAATAGGGAAAAACTTTGGTTATGGAAACTATTTTAAAGAAAATTACTCTGCTTGCCAAGAGAGAATCACTCATATATTTTATAAATCCCTACAGAGTTCTATTCTGCCAATGTTGAAACAAAGAGTTCCAGCACCTTTTTTCACACTTATGGATCTCATTCTTCTTCTTCACAATTATTTTCAAAAGTCCTATGCTTTATATTTATAACTCAGCTTCTAATATACTTTCATCCATAGGAAAAGGTTGAATTTCACCATAAATAGAAAGAAAAAAGGAAAGACAGAAAGAAAAAAGGAAAGTAATGACATACACAGTGTTAACCTATGAAGTTACTTAGAAAAATATTTAAACACTTTGAAATTTGGGAGACTAAATACATATTACATTTTTGCCTTCCTTTATACCCCTTCTGAATTAATATCCTATAACCACAAATGTCTTCCAGAAGAACAGTAAAATGTTAATTGTGAGTAGTAGGATTATACATCATTATTTTCTTCTTTATACCTTTATGTACTAAATTTTATATAATGAACATACACTGCCTGAAAGGAACAGCAACTGTTATATTAAAAAGAAAGTTGTTTATATTGAACCAAAACCAATTGAACGAAACTTCAAAATATTTTCTAGGAATATGTAATAGAAGATTATTTTTTAAAGTTTCAGTTGATTTAGAATGCATTTTTATTTTTTGATCTAAGTGAGCATTTATAGTGATCTACAGTTATAATGAGAAATAATCTGATTTTCAAGGCACTTAAATAGGTGCTCTTAAATAACAATCTGATAATTTAAATCATCAATATTTTGGAATGAAGAAACCAATTTCAAAAGTGTCAAAATATAATGACTTAAAAATATTTCATCTGACCTCATGAATTTGCTTTATGTTTAAGAGAAATTTGAAGATCAATTAAGATGACTGTTTAAAAGTACTAATTTCAGGTTATTACAATAAAATCTTTAAAACAGAATTTTCATTTTAATCGATTCCCTACATCTCTAAAAAACCTACATGTCTTTGGGTATCCTGAAACCTATTACTTCCCATGAAACACAACTTACTTAAGAAGGTAGGATTACTTACCTTCAAAGACACAGGTTTCAATTATAACAAGGAAACTTTATCTCTATTTACAACAGTTGCCTTAAAATATTTTAATCAGGGATACAACTTACTCCACTTAACTGCAGTATTTCCACCTTTGGTGATATGCCACTCAAATACAGCATTTATTTTCTTTACCACCTTGTGCCCGACATCCTTAAGATGGTGACCTATTTCCTTAAAGATCAAGGTACTCTGAAGCTCACCACCCTAGCAAAAAAAGAGAGAGTTTAATTTTTAAAGTTTTGCAGCAAAGACTCAAGGAGAAAAGTAATTACAAAATATATGTGTGATAAGGTGATTTTTCAAAAATCTGCACATAAATAAGGCAAACTAGTATTTTTAACATCAGACCTCTTTCACATTGGACAACCTATGTCTTAACTAACTTCAGCAGGTAGATACTGGACAAATCAACTTCTTTGCTTGTTTATTTGTAAAATGGGATGAAAATTCATGAAGACTGAATTTCTTCGTAGCTCTAAAACTTCAGAAGTTTTCGATTTGAGATTCTTAAGATCTTAATCTTCAGTCATTTATTTACTAATATGGCTTATGACAAGTAAGAATCATAAGATAAAGGTATGACAATGATAAACATTACAAAGTTAATATTTTGGACACAGAGATATAAACATTTTTATTAAAGCCTCAGAATGTTAATACAGAACAAAATGTTTTAGTAAATATAATACATTATTGTTTTTATGCTCACATATAAAGCTTTATACAAATCTTTAAATCAAGATAAAGTACAAGATACTTAACTTTTTCATCTATTTTTCTCCAAAATATTGTTTGCTTGATATTTTTCATTCAACAACTGATTTAGGTACCCTAAACCTAGAAAATTAATTCTTTTCTCTTAAAAGATACCCCAATATCCCCTCGAAAAAGTTTTTTAAATGTATTGTCGAAATTTTCCTTTTATTCTAAGCAGTTTTGAATTAGTGTCCTTTAGTTCAAGAATTAAGAATCTTTCACAGCTCTTAATTTTCTAAAATAGCCTGAACATTCTTAAAGTAATCTTAACTGAAATTCAGAAATCAGAAAATGACTTGGATACCAGTTCTGGTAACCTACCTCAGAGGGTATCTTGGCTAAAATATCCGATGCTGGCACAAGATCCACATATGCATTTGAAATGACTAAGTTTCCAGTTTCTTGGACCTTATAAGGGGTACAAAAGCGGAGAAAAGTAAACAATTCACACTGATGATTCCAATGAAAACACAATTTCATTGTGAAACGGTATAAAGTTATTTAAAAGAAATTTGCATTTTTTCTTCATGTAAAAAAGAAAATAATCCAAATTAAATAAAAAGCTCATAAATTAAACCTCAAGATGAATAAACATGAATGCTTGTTGATTTAATATAACTATTATTAACCCCAGCAGAATCAACTGGAGCCCTTTTTAAAAATAGCTATGACCATGTCCCATCCAAAAATTCCAATTTAAATAATCTTGAGTGGATCTTGAGCATTGTTTTTTTTTAAAAAAAACAAAACAAAACGAAACAAAACAAAACTGTATGTCTAATGAGGAGCCAGGGAGAGAACCGCTGAATTCTTATAAATAGCAGGAGGCATGCCATAATATCCATATGAGGTAGTGATAATCAACATGCATTTTTTTATGTTAACACAGAATAAAATTGGCTACGAACAGACCATAGTGGTCTTTTTAAAATAATAATTCTAGTTCTTATTTCAAATAGGATGTGTAGACAGCATAAACTAAATGCTTAAATAGTCCTTTTATCAAAATAGTGATTAAAAGAGCTCAAATTCTAATTCCTAATAATTTATCTAAAATTATTCCAATGGCTATTCTTTCATAAAATTATGGTATTGCTACAAATGTCTAGGATAGTATCTAAAAATTAAAGTAGCATTTATTAAAACTGATTTTTAACAATCAAGATCATTCTCCCTTGACTACCTCCTACCATATTTCAGAAAAAAAAAGATCTTTCAAACAATTTTGTTCATTTTATTTCAAATTATTTACAGTGAAAAGCATGAAAAGAGACAATTTATGAACAAAATATGCTTTGGTAAATTACTTTCTTGTAACCAAGCCAAGCATATCATTTGGAACATTCGTTTAAGATGTTTCTTAAAATACAATATGAAGGAAGAAAGAAAGGAAGGAAAGGAGGGAAGGAGAGAGGGATAGAAAGATTCTTATAATAATAAGAAAAAGAATAATAGGAAAAGAACACCTCTAATCACTGAGGGCAAAAATAGTAAACATACTGAAAAGATAAGACATGCTTTCAATTTATCAAAATGGCAACAATGTATTATATTTAGATATTAAATTATTTATCAACCCTGCAAGTTTGTATCCATAGGGATTATTTCTGTACTGTTCATTACTAGAATTGTGGGAAAATAAAAACATGTAATATAGTCATGATCCTAAACTAGTTTTGAATTCATAATCTTATTCAAAAAATAAAACAAACAAAATAATTAAAAATAAGAGGGCTCCAGATTATATGGCACAAACATTAATTACAAGATTTCAGAAAAAGCCAGAATGTGTGTTTATATGAGTGAGAAAGAGGGGAGTAGTAAGGGACTGCCTCTAAGGACAACAAGCAGAGCTTGAACTGAAGCCTAAAAGACAGGAAGAATTTGAAAAGTGAAATAAATAGTATGCATAAATTAAGCAGAAAATGATATTGCAAGCAGCAGGAAGTAATTATGAGGAAGACAACCACAGAAAGAAGAGTTCTACAAAGTTATTTACTTATGAGAGAAATTATAATGCAGTAAAAAAGATTTAGGGTCCTGGGATCTAAGCTTTGAGTCAAGCAGACCTAGGTTTCTATTCCAGCTCCAGCACTTTCTGAGTGACCATAAGAAAGTTATTTAGGAAACCTGAACCTAGATTTTCTGATAGTAAATGTAAAGTTGTTATGCATATTAGAGATAATGGTATAGCCTGCTATAGGTACTCAATAACTGGAAGCTGTTATAGGTAGTAGTGTTTAGTTATTATAGGTGGTAGTGTTTAAACTGTTTAACACCAACCTTCTCTGCAGTACAAAATGATTATGCCAAAAAGTATCAGCCTGGTCAACTGTGTTAACAAAAATGACCTTTAAAAAACTTACAAATGAAAGGTTAGTTGCATGTTCTTTTAGTATTTCTTTGAGTACTGCTAACAGCCTCACCCAAAAATTACTTAACTCTACAGGAAGTCATACTTTTACTTGTATTGTCACCTACAATTAGGCTTAGACTCTGAGACATAAAATGTTATTTTGTGGATTTTTGTGTGATCAAGATGCATATGATTTCTGTCCAGTAAAAAACATAACCATAAAGGATATGATTTTATTGTTCTATAGGATATTAAATAGTTTTGTCTCTCAGCAAAATTATTTTAGAATGCTTTTCCTATTGGACTATATTAAGCACTGTTGTTCTAATTCTCTTTTGAACCAGTTTTATCATCTTGCTATCTCCTTCATTAAGGAATTTAATACATTTTTGTCATGTTTTCACGTAAATCAGCCTGAGAGCCATGCCTTCAATTTTTTGAAGATTATATTTTGACAATAATTTGACTGACTGGTTTAGCCAAAAAGATACGGTTGGTTGGATTTACACAACAGCTGTACCACTGCTACACAGACAGGAATCAATTTAATTGAAAATAAAATGAAAAACAAGGTACGGAGGCATCTTATTTCCAATTAAAAGTTACCACTAAAAAGAAACTTTCTAGGTTTTGTCTCATATCCATACTAATAACAAAAAAAAAAAAAAAGAAGAAAAGAAAAAGAAAAAGAAAAAAGTTAAGATAAAACATAATTATTGAGTATGGTGAAATGGGTAGCAAAATATTAATCATACCTTGGTTTGGAAATGAATTCTATTTCCTTCCTTCCACATCTCAATTTGAAGAGTTTGTCCAGGATATACTGGTTTTGTAAAACGAACCTTTAAAAAATAAGTTTTGGGGTTAAAAATGTTTTAAAATAAAACTTTTCTACTTGTGAGGAAACAAATTGGGAGGGAGGTTAGAGTGCATACAAGGGAGAAAAGAGAGATTTAAATATATTTAAATTCATAAAGAAATAAAAATAATATGATAAAATTTGTAGAGAAAGGATATCGTTAATGTAAGCTAATTCGTTTTCTTTCAAAGTATTGTCAGTAAATAGTGTCAAATTCTGGCAAATCGGAAAACAGAAACATAATTATATTAAATACACACACACACACACACACACACACACACACACATCACCACCAGAACAATTTAAAAGAAGCAGTTAAAAGAGGTACTCACAGAGATGTGAAGTACAGAACAGGATATATAGTCAATAATATTGTAATAACTAGGTATGGAGTCAGATGGGTAACAGACTTAGTGATCACTTTATAACTTTGAAATGTCTAATTACTATGTCGTTACCTGAAACTAATATAATATGATATGTCAACTGTAACTGAAAAATAAAACAAAGAATTGGTACTAATTATCTGGGGAATAAGGTCTGGGGTGGGTAAATAGGACAAATAATCCTACTTTTTATTTTATAATTTTTTATACTATTTTATTTGCTGTATACATATTGGATAATAATAAAAATAGTTAAAATACAATGAAAAGCATGATAATAATCAGTGTTATCAAAGGCAAGGCATCAGAAAATGCACTTTCACTGTTGCAGGGAGCACAAACTGATAAAAGCTTTGGGAGCTTATTTAACACTGTCTAAATTTTTTTTTTTTTAGTGTGTACCTTTTGACTTACACATATGCAAAGATAGTGTGCAGAGATGGTTTTCTTTGTAATTTATAACAGACGAGAACTTGAAACCAGCTTAAAAGTACAAAAACTAAAATCAGTATGCAACTGTCATACTGATATAAGTATATGTTTATTAGAGTTCAAATGCAGCCACTTTACATTTTCAATTAAGGTAAATTAAAAAATAGTAAACCTCAAGTTTTTGTGAAGGTATAATATGCTGATATATGTATGCTCCTAATTAATATATAAAACAATCTAATTAATGTTAAAATTTTAACTGTATATATCCTTCATGATGAATGTGTAATAGAGGGATTTTTTAACTACAAAAAGAAAATGTGTTGATTGCTAAATCAATGTAATAAAAATGTATATTACTTCAGTATAGTATCGATTTTAAAAGTCACTAAAATTCCTTTTCTTCTCCAAAAACAAACAAACAAAAAGAACTAACATTCACATTATGCAATAATATACACATACCTTAATTGCCTTGAATCTTGACACATCATTATCTGCAAACTGCTGTAAAACATGCCTGGCACAAAATCCAAATGTACATAATCCATGTAATATGGGCTTGTCAAAACCTAAAAAGAAAAAGAGAGAGAGAGAATTTAGCTAGACATAGGCACATTTCATGTTTAAAAAGAAAGAATTGTTCATTCAGGATTTCAAAGTATATCTTTAAACTGCATTAGCATGAATTATACTTTCTACTCTAAGAAACATGGAAAATATTTTATAAATAATACCTCCTGGGCAATAATTATGAAATAAAAAAAGAAAAAGAAAAGAAAGAAGCTCTGGGAACACAAATCATTGTTTTGTTTAGCTTTGGTTGTAACCATGAAATCATTCATAGTATTTCAATGTCCCTGTATGTAGACAATCCTTCCCTAACCTTTCAGACCCTCGCTGTCTCTTCCAATGACCTTGCCTTTGCCCTTCATTATAACTGACTCCCACCCACATAGTCTATCCTAGACTTTGCACTAGCAGGAGCTTCCTTCCATCATAATCTCAATTTCAAGTACACCATTTTCTGAACACTACTTCCTACCTTCCCATATCATTTGCATAAATGTGTTAGGAGAGGGCTATTTTTAAAATGTTATTCAAACTACCAGTCATAAGTAGCAATGTCTTTAAGTACTATTTAGGTAACTGAGCTATTATTTTTCACTGGTATATATCATTAACAACTCACCTACTGAGCCAGCAAAGTTAGGATCAATGTGTAAGGGATTCCAGTCTCCACTGAGGCGGTACAAAGCAGCCTGTGCAGAAAGAATTATAAATGAAATTAGCACTCAGTGCTTTCTTAGAATACATTAAAAGAAAAACAGGAAATATGGCTGGTTATTGCACACAAAATGCATCATAATGTACCTAAGCTTTGAAAAATAACTACTTCTAACAGAAAAAGATTAACTATAAATTAAATGCTTTCTATAACATTCACCACTGAAATCAGTTGAAAAGGGGGAAGGCTGTCAAGTAACAGGAAGGGGAGCCAAAAGCTACATCTGGGGATAACAATGGTTACCAATGCCTAAAGAGAAATTCACAAAAAAGAATCCATAAATCTACTCTCATTAAAATACAACAAAGAGAGAGAAAAAAAATGGCATAGCTGATAGAGGTTCTGTTGATCCCAATGGCAACCAAATCAAAGTTGTGACAGAAACCAGGAGCAGCAGCAAGGAAAAATTGCCTGGGATCTAGATTAACAAACCATACAACTAGGGAGAAATCCAAGACAGCACCCTGCAACGGCAGAAAGTAGGATGGGGCGAGGAGGCAGGGCGACCTGATCCCGAGCGGCTGAGTGAGACGGAGGTTACGGCAGAGGCAGACGCAGACACCGTGGCCCGAGTGGATTTTCGCAGTGAGGGACCTGCTCACTCTAAGCACCAGTGCCCGTTCGGCTGCGTGCAGGGGGGAACCAGGGACTTACCTTACAAGGAGATACTGTCGGAGTGATGGGCCTAGGCAAGACTCACTCAGTACAGAAGTGCTGGCAATATCCACTGTACCCTGTTGAGCCCTCCCCGCTACCAGTGTGCCAGACACAGCGCTGCCATAGCTGTGATGTCATCAAACTGATTAACAGAGGTCACTCCGCCTAAAAGATTCCCTGAAACCTTGTCTCTCTCAACTCGCAGCCCCACCCAAGCCACATCCAGGTGTATCCTCAGCGAGTCAGGTGCTCCTTGTTGAGACTCACACTGGTGGAGGCAGCTGGTCTCGGTTTCTGGTGTGGCCTTTTGAGGCAACTATAAGCACAGCATCTGTGGATTGCTTGTTGAATCTTAACAGGTGGCCCTAGAGGGGTAGAGGCTTGGGCTAAGTTTGGCCTGCAGCTGAACCCCTCTCAGGACTGTGCCACTGGACACCTACTTCACAAATCCACACTAATAAGACTGAGAGACTTAGGAGCTTTGCTTTGTACATAGAAACAGACACGGAAAGGCAGCCAAAATGGGAAGAGTAAACTAAGAGATGCAGAGTTCAAAACACTGGTTATAAAGATGCTCAATGAACTTTTGGGAAACGTAGAGAGCTCCAACAAAGAGGTAAAAATGGAGATGGAATTATACGAGGGAATCAGTCTGAAATGGAGAACACATTATTTGAGATGAGAAGTATATTAAATGGAATAAACAAAGGAATAAACAAAGTGAATAAAGAAGAGGATCAAATGCCTCATCTAGAGGATGGGAAAGCCAATCAGGACACTCAATCAGAATGGCAAAAAAAAAAGATGCCAATTTAAGGAGGATACGGGACACTATTAAGGCTCTAAATATTCGTCTGATCAGCGTAACAGAAGAAAATCACAATGTTGGACAGCTGTTTGAAGAAATAATGATGGAAAACTTCCCTAATTTGGTGAAGGAAATGGACGTAAAACCCCAGGAAGCTCAGAGAATTACAAAAATCAGGGAGCCCACACCAAGACACATCATAATCAAAATGCCAAAAGTTAAATACAAAGAAAGAATATTAAAAGCAGCAAGAGAAAAAGAAATAATTACTTATAAGGAAACACCCCCATGAGACTGGCTGCTAATTTCTCAAAAGAAACTATGCAGGACAAAAGGGCTTGGCAAAAAATATTCGACAAGATGAAGACCCAGGATATACAACCAAAAATAATTTATCCAACAAAGCGCAAAGTTACCATTTAGAGTTGAAGGACAGATAAAGAGTTTCCCAGACACAATAGGCTAAAGGAATTTATCACCACTAAGCCAGAATTACAGGAAATGTTGGAGGGACTTTCTTTAAGAAGAAAAAACATGTGTCAAAAACAGGAATAAAGAATGGTAACAACTACATTCCTATCAATAAATACCTTAAATGGAAAAGAATTAAATGCTCCAATCAAACGACAGAGTGGCTGAAAGGATAAGAAAACAAGACCCCTACATATGAAAAGGAATGAGATGGAAAAGGTATTGCTTTGATGGACCTAGAAGGTATTTAAGTCAGACAGAGAAAGATAAACACTATGATTTCACTTATGTGGAATCTAAGGAATAAAAAGGACAAAATAATTAAAAACAGACTCACAAATATACTGGACAATTTGGTGATGGACAGAGGGGAGGGGGTTTAGGGGGTTGGGAGAATGGGGTGAAGGGTTAAAGAAGTACAAATTAGTAGCTGATGGATGGTCACGGGGATGGGGAGCACGGCATAGGGAATGCAGTTAGCATTAATAATACATTGGCTAGGTGGAGGGTCAGGGAAGGGAGGGAGTAATGGGGGGTGGATCATTTTACTAACTATATAGAGGTCTAACCAACATACTGTATACTTGAAACTAATTAAAAAAAAATACACTGAAGATAAGGTAAATGTTTATAGCCTCTTTTAACCAAGCAAAACTTATGCCAACTTTCTTAACAGGGTGTTTTAAATTGAAGCTTGTAACACATTACTAGACATATATACATCAAAGACTTCTCACAAACTTTCATTCTCCTGGTACACTAAATCCTGAGCATCCGCTCATCTTGCAAGAAAACAGATAGCTTGCTATTAAGATTAAATTTTTGCTTAGTCCAGATTTTCATATCACTTCTTTACTTAGATAAGGCAGGAATAGCACAAAGATATATAGATAACGATACAGAAAAAAAGTCACTGAAATTGGGCATTGTTCAAACTTGAGAGTACTTTTCAGTACCTAAGGAAGAAATTCACAAAACAGCTAACAATAAGTATTTAATGTATCTGTATATTAATTTGACCCCTTAAGGCTTCTTCCTTTTTTCAGAAATTGCTGGATTAAGCTTTCCAAGACTAATTAAAATGTTGTGTAAAGATTAGCATACCTGACTTTCTTATTGTTGTTTGTTATTCTTAATTATTGATTATCCTTTTTTAACAAATTTTATTTATAGAAAATAACATTAGAAAAATGTCATTTCCTTTTTAATATACTTTGTAAAATTTTAATAAGCTTTTTCCTTTCCCCATCATCCTACATGATAGTTCTGTAAATTATTCACTTTTTCAATCTCAGTATTTTTTTCCCTTTATATGTCTTTGAAAAATAACTAAAACAAATCAACAATTATCGAATAGTGGTGACTTATAAGATTCTGTATAAGATGTTGAAGGATTAAATGCTAATTTTTAAAAAGAACATTACAAACAAAACACTAGGCAAATATACATCATCATGTTGCATACAAATGAAAGATACACTTTACGGTCTGAACGGGAAGCTGTCACACACATGAAAGATCATGGGATCTGGCACCAGACAGATCTGGGTTCATATCCAGCTCTGCCATTAATTAATGAGTAAATTTTCTCATTTAAAAAACTGAGAGGTTAATTAAACCTCTTACAAAGCATTATCCTTGATAAATATTAATACCTCAATAAATGTGAGCTATTATTTTAAAATGTTTTAGCAACAGTATAACCAAGTTTTTAAGATTAGTACCACTATTCTTATTCCAGAGATGTCATTCCTACAAATGAAAAAAATGTGATTAAAGGAAAATGAAATTCTTCATTTTATTTCAATGATAGTATTGCTTCCTACAGACAGCAGAGTTAGTAAAGCCAAGAAAGATCTATCATGAGAAATGACTAAAATCAGCTGACTGGATGTTTGACTAAATTCAATCATAAGGCAAAATAATAAAGAACAGTCAAATAATAAAGAACAGTCAAAGTTTATTTTCTGAATATTCTGAAAGGTTTTCATATTTTAGAAGGAAAGCTGAAAGCTTCTTGTTTTCATTTCTTCCTAGATATAAAAAAATCACTAAAATTCTCTCTCTCACACACACACACACACAAATAAAACTAAGAAAAACAGCTACATATTATCTTATTTGTATATTAAATGTGAGTAGGAGGATTTTCTATATAAATAAATTAGTTCTTAATTTTATTTTTTAAAATTGTACCATTAAGTCAAACCAACTGATAAAAAGGTTCAGACATTAGTACTTCCCAAATTTTCACATCCTCCAAAAAAGCATACAGAGTAACAAGAACAAATAAAACTACACAGCTCCCAAGCCCGCAGACAGAGAATACTGCAAATTTCAAATTCCTATAAATAGAAAAACAAACACCAATTTCCAGCGAAGCTATCTTCTGAGCATCCTCTCAAAGCTACTATAGGAGTGGGGAGGGAGAGTACAGAAGCAGTGCATGGAAGAGAAAAGAGGAAAAGAAAAAAAAATCATTTCTAGACAGAGAAAGTCCCCCTTAAGGACAAAAATGCTGAGAAGAATCCTGGAAGGTTAGAGCACTGACTACAGAGAAAAGAATAAAAGTGTGCGGGCCTCAAAATGGTAGTCCCAGAAAGGAAATACTTCTTGGAGAGAAAAGAATAAAATGAAGATGGCCCGCCCCCGCCACCCCAATGATGAAGAAAAAAAAGAAGCAAGAAGGAAACTAAAAAAAAGTTTTTTTAATAAAACACCTCTCCACAATGCCCCACTCTAAAAAGCATTAAAGAAAATGTACTCTGTTAGACTGACAGAAGATGGCAATCTTGAATTCCTTAAAGAGGGAATCTTATAAACTATCCCAAACTACCAAACTTACTCACAGAATGCATATTGTAAGTAATCTTCATCTGTACAAAGCTACTTATAAGACTAAAAAATAAAAAATAAAAACCAAAACATTATAATAAATGAAACTTCCTCAAACCAAACAATTACCGAACAGAAGGAAACTATAATACAACACTCAAGCATTCGGGGATTTGAAACAAACACCTTGAATGTGAAATTCAAAAAAAATGATTAAACTCTGAAAAGAAATGGAAGAAAAAAATCGAAATCATAACGGAAATGAAGACTAAATTATAAGGTACCCAAAGGAGAATATATTCAAATAAAAATTTTAAAAGGGGCATAGAAGAGAGGAAAAGAACCAAGAAATGGAAATGGAATCGAGAAAGAACTAAAAAAAGGACAGAGAAAGTAGTTGAAAGAAAGACAAAAAGGACCCAATGTACGTATAATTAGAATACTTGATGAAAAAAATAACATAAAATAAAATAAATGAAAATCATAATCCTAGAGATCTTTTTGAAATGAAAGAAGATCTGAATATACATAAGGTCCACTAGCTACATGGGAAAACTGACCTGGAATGAGCAACACTGAGACATATCCTAGCAAAACTACTAGACTTTAGGGGTGGCTCCATAGTGTAGTGATTAGCACATCTGCTTTACATGCAGAAGGTCTGGGTTCGTGCCCCAGGTGGAGACACGGACCATACCCCGGGGATGCCAGGCCCCAAGTGCACACTGCAGCATGTGGGAGGAGACGCCCTGCCTTCAGAGATCCCGTTCTTCAGGGGAAAATGGCAACATCCATAGTTCAGGGGTGGAAGGGGGTGGGGGGGAGATTTAAAAAGGGGGGGAAAACTACTAGATTTTAAAGATAAAGGGAAAACAGAAATCCTAAGGGCCTCAAAGATAAAAATCAAGTAACTTAGAGTAAGATCATTAGACTGGGATGAGACTTCTCAAAAGCAACATATAAAGCAAGGCAACAATGGAACACCATTATTAAGAAACTCAAGATGTCCTTCAAGTACCTAACATATAGAAAAAGTTTTAAATACATAGTAACCAAAGGAATACTAGACACATGAGCCCTTCTTGTGGAAATCTACTACAGGAGACACTTTATCTAACCACATGATGGGGGAAACTTTAGCAAAGGGACTGATGTATTCGATTGCAAATCTAAGACTAAAAAATGGGAGAGTGGAAGAATATATAAATGTTAAATGTTCTGAAAAAGTAAAATTAATGCATCCTACAAAATGGGAACAATTAGGGAGATAAAAACAAGAAAATAAAATAGGCTCTTTAACAGCTAGAAATGTAACAAGTAGAAACCAAACAACAACAAGAAAACTGAAAAACCAAATAGTAATGAGAAAATTAAGTACTAAAGGTATATAAAAAGACTTCCACTTCTGGCCATTATGAAGTTCCTGGAATGGACTTAATCTTCCACTGTAAACAACTAGAAAAACTTTTTTTAAGGGGGAAGGGAGACACTATCTTTACACACTGGACAGTGGGCAGTGCAGGATTATGATTCTTCATGTAAGAGAAATAAAAAAGATGAACTCTACAATCACCACAAGTTTTCTGCCTGACAGCATGTTCCAGACTGTAGGGCAAGAAGGGAAATCTAAACATAGCAAAACAGTCCCAACAACATAAGGAGATCAAAATCATAGTTCTCTGCAGCTGGAATTCTGTGTATGTACTGAAGAGGAAGAAGCTACAAAGAAAAACACTCCAGAAACCTAAATCGAAGTCCCACTGAAGGCCATACAGAAAGTCCCTGGAAGATGAGACACCATATGAAGAAAGAGGTCCTATGGAGAAAACTGGAGGCATCCAGCCATCAGCCAGCACCAAGACCCCAGACTTGTGAAAGAAGCCATCTTGGACCTTCCCGTGCTGCCTGGACACCATCTGAGAACAGCTACATGACAAGCAACACCATCTGCAGCAGAGGACCACCCAGTCAACTCACAGAAAAGTGAAAAGTAATAAATCATTGTTTCGAAACAAAGCAAAAAAGGTAGTTACTTATGATACACATGGTAATTTAATAAAGAATTATATTTTAATATATAGCATAACTATAATAAATATACCAAATGATAATATACCAAAGATTAACTTTATTTAATAATGTTGATAGCTAAAATCCTAATTGTTAGAATAAGTAGTATTAGATATGTATCTGGGGAAACTACAAATAATTATTTTCATTCTCCCCAAATGCAAAGCCTAACATCTCATCTATTCATTCTTTGTTCTTTCTATATTTTTGAAGATGAAATTTCTATTCATTAATTATATTTTTGAAGATGAATTTTTTATTTCTATTTATAAAGTACACTGGAAATGTCATACCGGCTTAATAATGAAGAAGTTTTCCTACAGATATGATAAATAGAATATCCCAGAAGTAACATTAGTAGAGCTAAAAACATGGTTGGTTGCCAGTTTCTTACTGATTGTAAAGTTACAGTACTTATTTAAATACCTAGCACAAAGTTTATGCTATAATGGCATAATTTTTCCTTATTTCCTCTTCTGTTTAAATTTATATGCCCATCCACAATCATCTCCTCCTCCTCTCCAATGTAAATGCTCCAATTCTTACTGTACACATGCTCTTACAGTCTGCTATCGTTACTCATTCTCAGCCACACTGCAAGCCCTACGTCTCTGGAAAGAGAGATTATCTATACACCATTTTAGTTCAGCTAAGTCCCATCTTTCCTGTCAAATCCTTCTGTGCATCATTCCCTAATGAGTTATCACTTTTCTGAATGTCTATAGCACTTACTCTACAATTCGAGGCTTTGTATTTAATCATTCATTGCTTGGAATAGGGGCCCTAGTTATTCAGACATCTGCCTACTGAGTATCCAAGTGTCCTTTCAGCTCCTTGACAACAGATCACATTTCTTCTACTTGATTTCTATTTCCTACAGCACAGATCATTTTAAACAATCCACAAATCCCCTGAAATTCATACAAAGTTTTATGCAAAATGTTTTTTGAAAAAATAGTATATAGCTTTCATCATATTCTCCAATGACCATATGATACAAAAGGCAGCCATTAAATGAGAAAAGAAAACTTTGTTTTTGAGAAATCTAAAGACAGAGGTCAGGAACCTCTGTCAGATGATGGGTGCTCCTTATTTATATAAAAAATGTTTGTTAACTTAAAAACTGTTCTTTATCACACTGCAAAAGTCAATTCTGCTAAAAGCTAACAAAAAGTTCTACTCGTCTGAAAAAGTAAAGAAAGAAAATCTCTCTACTACTATGTGTAGAAATTCAAGCCTTGGAAATTATTCATTTTTCTTACCTATAGCAAATACATTTTACTAATTCAGTAACCCAAGAATGAAAGAGCATTGTTGGGTTTTCTGCACCATGAAACCATGAAGCCTTTTCCCTTTTATAGTGCCCTAAAAAAATTAATTTTACTATGAAGTTTTAATTGAATATAAATATGCGTGTGTTCTTAAGAAAATGATAAGAAACAGGGATTAGAAAAACATTTAAAGGCAAAAACTAATCTGAGAAGCAAATGTACTGTTCTTTCCATCATCCAATTATATAGCGCAGAAAAAAATACAATTAATATGTTCCAACCTTAATTCTTTCTGGCTCACGTAATTATATTTCTGTTTGCCAGCAAACATAAATTCTGCATAAGTTTTCATATCAAGCATATCAAAATTAGCATAAAAAATAACTATAAATAATGTGTTGTCATTATACGCTCATTCACAGAGCTTCATGTAACTTCGGAGCTCTATGTATTGTTCTGTATCTGCATGGTTAGTCTTCTGGCCACCTTAGAGAAGAATCTTTAGGTCTCTCAAAAAGAAGTTGTTTTTCTCATTTTATGGCTACCTTTTGTTTCTTATGTAAATCTTTGCGTGCTCACAGAATGTTACCCAATAATGCATTTTATATCCTCCATCAGAAAACAAATTATGCCAAATAAAAGAGATTAAATCACCTAGCCCTTCTAAGATGCTTTATTTTGCCTGTCTGCTAAAGTTAGCATAATATAATCTGATCCTAAGCAATGTTGTTCAGCTTTCTTTACCAATAGAGAAAAGGATGACTAAAATTTCCCTTTTAATTCTTTTTATAACTGCTCTCTACAGCTTTCATGAAGTTCTTCACCTAACCTAGGCAGTCACCTGAAGGCAACCACTCTGTTGCCAACAAAGCATAATGCTGTTTAAACTGACTAATGAAAAGCCATTTCATTTCAACATTTTATATATATATATATATATATATTGCTACCTAGTGGAGAAAATTGATAAATAAAAATTTAGAAAAAATGAATTCCAACCACAGAAATATGTCATTGTTTTTATTACGTTGAAGGTAAAGCCACTACTTTTAGATTCACAAAATTACAGGGTGTCAGTTATAAATTAAAAAATGTCAGCAATCAGGTAGGTGGCTTTATCACTTTTCAAAAATATGATCTTACCTGATTAAGTGAGGTGGTGTCCGTATGTACAACATCAGGAGGTCTACTGGGAATGGCTACAGTTTCCTGGAATAAAAACATATATATATTAAATACTAACAAAATAATTGCTATTCTCATTCTCCAAACTGGTATATGATAAACAACCATGTTTTAATATAATAAAATCTGCAAGCTGGATAAAAAATTTTAATATATGTTCAAGAGATAATGACATTTAAAATTTCATTACTGCTAGCTTCACTCACATTATGACCCTGTTTAAGGAATCATATAACCAGAGCCATTCCCT